GACCTCAGTTCTGCTTTCAGCTGCATCTCTGCATCCGAGGGGGGGGGTTGTGGTCCGTGGAGCAGGTGCTACAGAACATCTCCCCCCAGTCAGCAGGACACTGGGATCTGTGTTCGTCAGTGGGTCCCCCCTCCCCCCCGCCCTGTTTCTCCTCCATTTGAAAATCTGTTTGACAAATCCAGATGCCTGCCCTAGGCCAAGCAGCCCCAGCGCTGGGACCGTTCCCAGAGCCCTGCTCTTTCATGGAGCAGACGGTCCCTCGGGCCCCGCCTGTGTGCGCAGGCCCTGGCACGCAGCCCAGCCCTCCCAGCGCCACAGGCGGGGGCTGTGTGTGGGCCCCGCGGGAAATGGCTCTTTCTGAAGGGGTGTCCCGTGGGGACGCCCTTTCCTCCCTCGGCGCCCGTGCAAAGAGACTGCTGCCAGGGTTGGCAGCACAAGCTCCTGTGGGCATGGGGCCAGCCGGGGGCCAGGTTCCTGCCACTTCTCTGCCAGGCGGCCTTGCGGGGAGCCCAGGAATCATTTCCGAAAATGCCCAGGCCGTGCGGTGAGCCATGTGCCCCTCCAGGCCACGCCTGGCGCCTTGCGACAGGGCTCGGCTCAGAGCTGACGAGGGGCCGAGGGCCAGGGTGGGGCGTGTGCTCTGGCCGGGCTAGCGCCGGGCTCCACGTTCGCCAGTCGGGCCAAGCTCTCGAATATTGCGAAGGCCGAAGTCGAGGCTTACCAGCCCCCCCTTGCTGGCTAATCAGCAGACAGTCAATCAGCCCCCCCTCCCCACCCGGGCAGGCCCACTGCCCAAGGGCTGTCCATGTCCCATAGCAGCCCTGGTGCTGCTGCTGGCCCTGTCAGTGGGGGCCTGCGGTGCTCAGGTTCCAGTCAGACAGATGGTGCAAGCTGACTGGAGTCCCGCTGAGGCCCCGCCCGGTCCCCGGTTCAGGGCTGCCCCTCGTGCAGGGGAGCAGGCTGGTGTCACGGGCCCCGCTTTATGGGCAGGGGAGTCAGAAGCCCGGAGAGGAAGGGACTTGCTGGAATCCTTGGTCTCCACATCCCTGGGGCACGGTAAACCTGCCTCAGTCCGGGCACTGGCCGAGGGCAGAGCCCTGAGCTGGGACGCGGGTGTCTCTTCCCCCCCCTTGGTTAACAGGCTTGATCTCTGGTGTGGCCGAATGGAAACTGGGCTCTTTTCTGCGCCCCACTCTAGGTGATCTTGGGCGGGGGCCGGAAATACATGTTCCCCAAGAACACCAGTGACGTGGAATACCCCAGTGAGGACAAGCACCAGGGCACCCGCCTGGATGGCCAAAACCTCGTTGATGTCTGGAGAGCGAAGAAGCCCAAAGACAAGGTACAGGGGAGGGAGACGCCTGGGGAAACGGGAGGGCCAGACGGGCTGCAGGTTAGAGATTCCTTACTCCCAGGTCTCTGGCTCAGGCTGATGTCAGCCACCAGGGGAATAATCCAGCTGACAGTGGTTCCCGTGTTTGAAGCCCGTCAGGGTCACAGCCCTGCGGGGAATGCGCGGCGTTTGCGGTTGTGTCTGGCACCTTCCAGCCGAATGAGGAGCTCGGTTTGTCCTACAGACATCAGGGAGAGGCAGAGGGGAAACCGAGGCAGCCAGGGGCTGAGTCTCACCCAGCAATGGAGCCAGGATTCTTGGGAGCCCGGGCCCTAACGAAAGAAAAGGTCCCTGAGTCTCAGCGGGAAAGCAGCTCTCTCTGGAGCAGGACGAGCTGTAGCCAGCTCAGTCCCGGGACAGCGGAGGCAGGGCAGGGGAGGCAGTATCTCTATTGGGCCCCCTTCCTGGGCTACACTCCCCCGGGCCGTTGCCCTCAGCTGGAGGCGGTGAACTTCGATCTGCTTCTGGCGGCGCC